CCACGAAAGCTTATGCCCAAATAAATCTGTTAGTCTTTAAGGTGCCACCAGACTCCTCGTTGTTTTTGAGTGTAAGAGAGTCTGTCCTACGCCATCTTACATTTGGTACACAGTACAAAACACAAGCTGCTGAGCTGCAAAGATAGGGTAACTAATGCAGCCTAGCTCTTGCCATTTTTCAGCGGAGTAGGGCATTTTATGGAGGGGATGGTCTAATAGGACTTTTCCATTTCTAACTTCTGTGAGGGATGTATCTGCTACCATGTTCATGACGTATTCACTATTATTATAAGGTAAGCTTGTGCTCTGGATAGCAGTAGTGATTACCTGGTTAATAAAAAGGTTAATGAGGCATGATTCATACAAGAAAAGGAATGATTGTGACTGGTATGAGATAAGACGCTGTTAGATATTGCTGATGAGATGTGGAGTAATGAAATGATGTGGCTCCCAAAGGAGAGCATTACATGGCTGCTGTTGCCAGAGGGATCAGGCCAAATGGAATCAATGGGGCTGTGCCCATTTACACCAGCAGAGAATTTGATCTATCATTTCTCTGTCAGGCATCCTTTCTTGCTATTCATGGGTACTATGGTCTCTAGATGCTCATGCAGGCAGACGCATTGATGTTAGGCTCCAAAGGTCAGCACTAGACACCCGAGCCATAATAACACCAGGAAGAGAAAGGAGTCACTCATCATGAATGGAGATGAAGTCTCTTGAGTCTTCCTGTATAGACTATTCAGATGGAGCATCTGTGTCACAAATCTTTGTCCAAGCTATTGGGAAGGAAGACAAGCAAGAAGTCCCAAATTCATGAGGTTGTACGGTAAATATTTGTTTAAAAAATCCTAGTAATGGCTCGTCACCAAGCTGAATCCAGTCCAGACAAATAACCTAAAGTAATTGCTGTCTTATTGCTGTTCATTGGCCTATGCAAAATGAGCAGATGGTCTCAGTCTAATTCCTAGTGGACAGTCATCCACATCATAAAAAAACAAACTAAAACCCCACCATAATAATTGGCACCCTTGTTAACAATCCGAGCAGAGGGGGCAAAAAATGAACTCCCCTTCATTCCTGGAAGTGTTCCCATTATACCAGGATTAAGGCACGTTGGCAAGTCTATGTGAGGAGTCTTGTACTGCTGCCATTTTTGCCATGCGTGCTTTGCTGATAAACAGAAGATTTCAGGCACCAGGGCTTTCAAATTGGCAACTCTCCTGAGCAGTTAAAATCACTTTAACAGTTGTGTGGATGTTTAAAGTGTATGGCCTATCATTGTTGCATTGGCCATCATTTGCAACACACCACAGCTTTTTCACTATAGTGTGCATACTCTAAGCCAAGCCTCACTTTTCATGCTGTGAGCCAACACGGAATGATTTCCTTGGGGAAATGGCTATCAAATTGTGGTTTCCTAGATCTACTAGTGTGGAACCTAGTTAGGAACATGTTTTGTGAACATGTCATCTTAATAATAGAAAATTGTATATGACATCTCCAAGACACTGAGAAGTACTTTTCCCACCTGGGTTTAGGCTGGGGCAGCATAACATTGCTATAAAGAAAACTTGATGGCAATGAAGATCTACATACAGTACCTGGCTGAGAACGTAGGGAAGATCCCTCCGAGATACCTTAACTAAATTTTTGCTCTTTGCCAGAAACTGAAGTTCCTCATCATTGAGGCCGATGTGGATCCTGCCATTTAAAATGCCCACGGTTGCAGGTACTGACCCATTTGTCCTTACAATCTCTTCCACCTCTCTGGCCATGCTGGAATAATATAGACAGAGCAACAAAAAATAAAACAGAAAAATGATGAGGTGGGAAATATCTTCAGATCTCTCTGCCACCATGTTCCAGTTCCTACTTTATAACAGTCCCTCAACTTCTGCTAAATCTGGTTCCTCTCCTGCACCTTACAAATAGCAGAAGTCTTTGGATCTCATTGTCAGAGGTGCAGATCTTCCCACAGCTCCCATTGCGAATGCTCAGTAGCTCTGAAAATCGGGCCCTTTATATGTTTAGTTTCCAGTGGGTGTCTGAAGGTCTGACCTGCCTGTCTGTGTTGCATAGATTAGAGGAGATATGATTTGTGGTGGGGGTGTTTAATTACAGTCTTCCCTCCCTAATATGCAGCCAGGTCTATTCTGTGGCCAGTGAGCAAAAGAGTGTATGTCCCAAGTCACTTATCAGTTCTGACTTCATCCTAAAAGGTAAACTAGGGCAGGTGTGGGTGGAAGAGACTGAGAACTCTTCCTAAATTGTGCCATAGATTATTTGTTTAAAAGTGGCTTTCCACATCACAAAGCAAACAGGTGTGGATGGGATTTGTTTCCATTAACTTGATTTACTGTACCCTGCCAGCTTTTCTCTCCACCAAACAGCGGAAGGTGAATATCATGGAGAAATGAAGGGTAATGATTTGGTATGTTAAGGAAGCAATTACACATAATCTGGTATGTGCTTATATTAGGTACCTCCATACCTGCCATGTTTTGTAAGACATGAAGATTGTAGGCCAAGTGCTGCCAGTTCCCTGAAAAGTGAGGGTATTTAGTGTAAATGATCCTCTTGAAGGATGGGATTGTTTTTTATAAAACATTTTGCATAACTGGCTAATGAGTCACAGCTCATACACCTTTACTGGATAGCTGCCTATTCCAAGTCTTCATTAGACACTCAGATTCCTCCTCTCATAATACTGACTTTGGATATGGACAGTGAGAGGCGTGGGATACTGAAGGGCTGCAAGTTGGGGCTTCTTCATCTTTGCAGGCTTTTTATTTACTAATTTGTGAGACCACTTCATTTCTTGTTGGCAGGTTTGGCAGGTCCTTCTGTCCCCAGGGCTTCTGTACCTTCCCTAGACAGCCTCAAGCTGCCTTCTCACTAAAACAGAACTCACTGCATTCTGATCTCTAAGGAACAGCACCAGCAGAGGTGAAAGTAAGCTGGTCCGGTATGGCGTACCAGCAAGAGCCGGTACGCCATGCTGGACTGGACCGGCTTCCCCGGCGGTGATTTAAAGGGCCCAGGGCTCCAGCCGCTGCGGGGAGCCCCAGGCCCTTTAAATCACTGCCGGCGTTCCGGCAGTGGGGCTCGGGCGGTGCTTTAAAGGGCCGCAGTGGCAGGAGCACAGGGCCTTTTAAATCCCCACCGGAGCCCTGCTGCCCCAGGGTAGCGGTGGCAGTGCTCCCGCGGTGATTTAAAGGGCCCGGAGCTCCGCGGCGGCCAGAGCCCCGGGCCCTTTAATTTGCCCCTGAGCCCTGGGGCTCCCAGCCGCCTCTGCAGCTGGTAGCTCCAGGGTGATTTAAAGGCCCTGGGGCTCCCAGCCACAGCCAGAGCCCCAGGGCCGTTAAATCTTGAAAGGCCCCGCCTCTTCCAGTTGAGGCCCCACCCCCGCTCAGGACTCAGGCGTACCAGTAAGTCCTTTAAGTTATTTTCACCCCTGAGCACCAGAGAAAAATAATGGCTGTATACGAAACAAATAGAAAATTCAGTACAGTAACCTTCCTCTGCCGTGGCTCAGTAGCTAAGCAAAAGTATGGGAGATTGCTTACATTTTTGGTACTGTCACTCAGAGGAATACTTATATAGAGGGTACCCACAAGTAAAGGGTTGGTTGCAGAGATGGGGTTCCTTGGCACAGTGCTGTCTTAGCATAGGCCAGCAAGAGAATCCAGGAGAACATTGTAGTGGCATTTACAGTCAATTTACAGATGAGCAGAGGTCATCACTGTATTCCAGTAACTTTTACATTATAAAAGATGTAGCCAAAGAAACTTATGAGTACTTAAGGTCTCCACAAGCCATCCAGCCACAAATGCCTGAGATCTCTATCCAGACAAGGCAATGTCATCATTTGCTGCCACTTTGTGAAGAAAGCCAGGGATTTGATGCTACAGATGGATATGTATAGTACATGTAAATCTGGGGTTTGTCATGTAGTTCTGCTATCTTTGAAAGCCCAGATGCAGCTCTTTTGTAACCAAGGTCATATTCTGCACGCTTGTCACACCCTCAGTTCCCACTAATTTTAGTGGCAGCTTTGGGTGAACCACAAATACAGAAACAGGCCCATAGATTATCAGACACAACCGTACAGTTTTGCTGCACTAGGGTCATCAAATCATCAAATCTACAACCTCAAATTCTGGGGATAAGGCATGCCATGTGTAATGATGGTGCTCTCCAAGGCTATGATCGGTCTCCCATCAGCCAGAGCTTCCTCCACAGAAGATGAAATCCTGAAATGAGTTCCTAGGAATAAAATATAGGAAAATAATATATATTTTAAGGCGACAATAGACTTCTTGATTTATCAATCTGATCTACATTAGGCAGTGTGGGAATAGCTGTATAGGGAGTTGGAGGATCAGACTAGGATGAGCATACAACCTAATTTTTATGGGACAATCCCAATTTTTGTGAATCTGTCCTGTGTCCTGCAAAGCCATGCAAGAAGCAAAACCTGCTGAAACGATTAAATCATTTGGGTAAGAAAAAAACCTTTTATGCTTTACAACGAAGTTTCATCACACAATCAGAGTGTTTTTCTCTTCCTGCAGAACAAGATGGGAAAGGTGGTAACACACCAGCATTTGCAATCCTGAACCCTATGCCTCTCTTGAATACACCAAAAACCCAACAGAATCAAAAAGGGCTGAAAAGAGAGTTTTATTCCATATTTTCAGTGGCATCAGATTGTAAAAAGAGCAAACGTAGAATTGTTTTGCATATATGGTAATTCAGTATGGAATTTACAGGATTTTTTTAAAGATAAATGGTTTACTAAAATTCTTCAGGCTTTTCCAGTAAATATACTACTTAGTGCCACAAACCAGAAAAGAATTAATCATTTTGAGACCAATTTTAGGGGAAATTTTGAGAAGAGAATGCTATGAATTCATTCTATATCAGCTCAGCACCTACAACACTCACCGTAGGTAGGAATTCAGATAGCCCAAGATCAGATCTATGCCCAAGGTGCCATCAAATTTAGACAAACAATTTTATTAGGAATAATGTAGAGCTTGAAGAGTGATTAGGATCCTTTTAATCCTAGGATTATTCTTTATTATTTTTTTTATTGAACTAGCATCGAAGGGTCCCAGTCACGCCACTCCTGAAATCTGAACTGTGAAGTCAATTGTCAATCAATTTCATATTGAACATTATGGGCCTCATTATCCTCTCCCATCAATTTTACAGCTGTGTAACTCCAGGGACTTCAATGGAGCTAATCCCAATTTACACTGGTGTAAGTGAGAGGAGAACTGGGCTTTGCAAGTCTGTCATGATTTGAGAAGGGTGTGCACATTAAAAGAGTGGAACTGTCAGTGCTAAAAATAGCACCACAGCCAAGACATTACAGTATCATGCACTGAAGTTCCCTTGCCCCATATTTTTTCCTATAAATGCCGTAAAACAGAAGCTCTCTGTGAAATGAGTTTTAAAAGGCCTCAGGCTACCTTGAGTGAGCTGCCTCTACATTGTTCCCAGACACTGCCAGTTCAGGATCCCGGTTGCGTTCCAATCACAGGGACTTTTTCAGAGGACACTACTCACCATGCAGGAATCTTCTCATCTGGATGATCCTAGGCGCCACAGCAGCTGTTTGCCTTCCCAAGGTACAGGCCAGATTTCCAATCATGCTGTGTGCAGGGATGGCACTGTCAGGAGAGCAATGCCATGTCAAATGAAAGTAGTATAGAAGGCAGTGACATTATTTCCCAAACCGCTGGTTAATCATGAACTGCAGCCCGGCTCCCTGTGATCTCCAGATTGAGAAAACAAGTTGTATGTGTTGTAGAGGATGGGCTAACAGACGGAAAAATCCTATGTATAGAGGAACTGGGGTTTTGGGTGCTTTAGACAAAGTGGTAAGCAGTATGGTAAAATGTGCAAAGAAAGAAACCTGCAGACAAAGAGAGAGCCAGATGGCAGATAGTAAATACAGAGAGACAGATTAGCTTCCCCAGAAACAAGAGGACTGACTAATCTCTTACTTTATGTAATCACTACGTAAAAAGGTACAAAGGGCTGGAAATGGGGAGTTTCAGTTCAACTCTAGCAATAGTTCCTTCAGTCCTTCTCCAGAAGCTATTCTTTTCTCTGAACAACTTCTGTTAATGTTTGTGAAACTATTCCTTCATTCTAAAAAAATTATATATCTAAATAGAAAGCTAGCTCCATAGAAAGAGATGGGCTTGTGGTGAAGGCAATGGACTGGGAGTCCGGAGCAATTCTTGGCTCCCTCACAGACTTCCTGTGTGACCCAGGGCAAGTCTCTTAACCCTCTGGGTTTCAGTTTTCCAGCTGTGAAATGGGATAATACTTCCTTTGTCTGTCTTGTCCAGTTAGACTGTCAATTCTTCAGGACAGGAAGTGTCTTTTACTATGGGTTCATGCAGTGCCTAGCACAGTGAGGTCCTGTTCTCAGTTGGGACCTCTAGGCACTACTATAATAGTAATAATTAATATATACACACTCAGTAGGTGATTTTTGCTAGAATCTTAGAAATCTATCTGTAAGGGAGGGATGGGTCTGGTCTGTTTTATACAAAGAGGGGGAATAGTTCTTGTAGACATCCTCTCTCAAGCCACCAAACAGCAGTTGCCAAGAAAGATGAGACACTCCTGACCTAAACAGTGGGCCAAACCTAGATGTCCATACTCCTTTTTTAATCTGTACTTACTAAAACAAACCCCCCATTTCATTAAATGTTTGGAATCAGATATGACCATAGGGCGCAAAATCCCCCTTCTATATATGTGCTCTTTATTAGATCTCTGCAAAACTCCAACAGTTTGGGATCCCCAAGGGTTCGCACAAACTTTCTAGTTTTGAGTTGTGTGAGCCTGCCACCCACAGGCCAAATTCAGCCCTCGCGCAACTCCTTTGAAGATAGTTGGGTATCGAGTTTTGTGCTGAGTTTCCAGTTTTAAACAAGCCCGCAAACCAAATGTGAAACATCAGCTGAAATTGCCAACTTGCACCTATTTATGGATCAAAACCAACTTGTTTCCACCCAAAACCTTACATCACCTCAGGTTTACTAGAAACTATTCAGCCAACATTCAGACTAGGTTTGCTGAGAGATTTTTGAACTTGGCAGACATTTTAGCAAACTCTGCCTGACCTTTTGGTTTATAACAAAAGATAGGAAGTTTCATTACAAAAGTTTCACACAGTTCTAGTTTAAACTAGCTTTTCCTCAAGTAACCCTCCCCCAAACCCACCCAGCCAGCAGCCCTTTGTTACACACCATCAGCATTTGATTTCATTAAGTGGTAGACTGATATATTGTCAGTCTCTTACCTCTGGGTTTCTGTCTGACATACATGGGCTGTTGTCTGCACTGAATTGTCACTCAAGCAGCTCTGCAGGGAGGTGGGACTAGTGGGGCTTGCTGCAGAATTGGCTTAAGCTGCTCCGCATTCCAGCCACATGCTCCATGCTGAGATAGTCTGTCTATCATTAACAGCCTAAGCAGCTCTGGAACTGGTCCCTGTGTAGGGGATAGGAGAGGATTTCACAACTGGATGGGGATTTCTTTTCCTAACTCAGTGCCAAATATTTTTCCCTCTTTTCACATCACTTTTTTTTTCACTTTTCATGTTCCTTTGTTCTTTGTACTAGGTTTTAAACATGAACTTAGTGCTGGTGAAAGCCACTAAAGAGAGAGCCCTTGAGATTTAAGTTCTACTTATTTATCCACAGACAGTACAGAAAGTAGCAGTACGAACTTCTTTTACAGCCCTACCAACATGGGAGGTGTTAAGCCCACCTTTGGAGGAGAGCAGGTAGTTCACTCTAAATGCCCATTCAGTCCTTGGATGCTCCGCAAGGAATGCTGCTGGAGTTAGTGCCAGGTTTGGTTATGCCTTTTCTGACATGGATACCTGTCCCCTGGCACATTTATGGAGACCACAAGCTCATTTCATAAAGGCCACTGGGGGCTGGTTCACCTGCACATCTACCAATGTGATATATGCCATCATGTGCCAGCAATGCCCCTCTGCCTTGTACATTGGCCAAACCGGACAGTCTCTATGCAAAAGAATAAATGGACACAAATCTGACATCAGGAATCATAACATTCAAAAACCAGTGGAAGAACATTTCAGCCTCTCTAACCATACAAATCAATTTGGTAATCAAGCGGCATAGCCAGTGGTTGACCCCTGTTTTAGTGAATTGACACTTTAGCCAAGGCCATTCTCATTCAATATGACCTCAGCATGCAGTTCACCATATCAGGAAATCCAAGTGTAACAGTTCCGAAGAAAATGCAGCCTTCGGTGTATGTTTTCTTCTGTTATTTTTCTCCCCAAACCAAATGAAAACCATTCTCTCTGTGGGTGTCAGGACTGCAGGTCAGCTCTGCAACTTAGCCATGTAGAGCACAGGTGTCACTATACTACTCTGGTCATGTGCTAG